AGTGAAGCCTCCTGCCAGTGGGACGCGGAAGGCCAGAGTCCTCTACGATTACGAAGCCGCCGACAGCACCGAGCTGGCCCTCCTTGCAGATGAGGTTGGTGGCTTTCCCATGTGTTGGATTTGGCTGTTACTGCCCACCAGTCTGTTGTGTGCTCTGCAGGCCTTTGGTTACTTCCCCTGCCCTAAAAACCTGCTTCATGGCTCTAATAGAATCTTTACCTGGACACAGGTACCCGCTGAGTTGCAGTGAGTTGTGTTCATGGCCATTTGATATTTAACATCACCCCAATAACTCCTTGATTCCTGTTGGAGTCCAACTGGACCCAAAATAAAATACCCCAATACTCAATATCTTCACTGTGACCCTCTAATACAGCTGCCTAATCCAGAGCCATGGGATAAGCTGCTGGCTGGAGGCTTGCTCTAATCATGCTGAGGAAAAAAGGAAATTCAGCAAGTTGCAAACTCTTCTGTTCTCTAGACTGAACTTCTGTATTCAGAAGAGATGACACAGCAACATGTAAAAATGCCTTAAGTCACTTTGGAGAATGAAAAGGCAACAGGGACAGCACTGGGCAGCTCTCCTTAGATTTTGTGTTAAAGCTGCAGATAGCTCCAAGGAAAGGGCACAGATGCCTGTTAAATGAATTTCAGGAATTACTATTCTTTCAGTCCCACTCTGACTGAACTTCTTGGCTCTGTCTGCAGAGTAAGGTCCTGTCTAATGCTGTCTTCTCTCCCCAGATGATCACTGTGTACAGCCTGCCAGGCATGGATCCAGACTGGCTCATAGGGGAAAGAGGGAACCAGAAAGGGAAAGTTCCTGTCACTTACTTGGAACTGTTGAGTTAAATGTTTCCAAGAATGTGCAAGCAGAATACACCCCTCATCTCCTGGCACTTCTAATGCGGATTTCTTCATCCGAGACCATTGCTCTCTTCAGGGTTGACACTCCATTGCTAATACGGGAATTGCGGGAAAGAAGTGGTAAAACCGTTATGGTGAGGTTTTGGGAAAGGGCTGATGGCACCCGAGACTGAATTTGTTACCTACCAGTGCAGCCTGCTTTGAGGTCAGTCTTGATGGCACAAGATTCCTCGACTGTTTTCCCTTCCCTGCCCTAGTCTTGTCCCTCACAGTGGCTTTCCCAGGGCGAGCTGTGTCCCTCAGCAGCTGCTCACAGAGTCCCAGTTACACTTCCCTGTGTCTGCTGTGGGTTAGTGCCTGTCTGCCCCTCCCCTCCTCTCTCTTCTCCAATAGTAGACCTGCCCAAGCCCAACCATTGAGCACTCCAGTAGGGAAGTGTCCCACACACCCCCTCTGACATGTCCCAGCACATCAGGCAAGGAAGCTGCAGTTAAGCTTTAGGAGCCTGTTAAACCCATCCACCTGTGGGAGACCAGCAAGGCAGGGCTGGCCTAGAGCCACACTCTGTCCTGGGGCCTGGTGGCTCCTCCCTACACGTGTCCTCTGAAGCTGGAAGATTTCTTTGTGGAGACCAACCTGGTACCATAGGGCCCAACCCCAAACCTCAGTGCAAGGGACCATCATCTCGCTTGCGTTTCCTCCGAGAAGTTGCTCTTGGACTGCAAAGTTTACAAGCCTTTCTACAGCTTTGCTGCCCCTGTTACTGTCCAGGCTTTTCTTTCAGTGCGTCTGTCCAGGCATGTTTTAGCCTGACTTTATTTTCACCCTGAATCACTGATTTAATGAATGTTTCCCCTCCCATATCAGCAGTGAACAGACTTGGTGCACCTAGTGCAGAAAGGGACAGTCCCACCTGCTGTCACCTCTAGCAAGGAGCTGCTCTTGGCCACACACACACACCCCACAGCCCAGGCTGTCCTGGAGGGACATGCTGGTTTAGCTCAGGTGTGTGTGTGCCTGCTCATCCTGCAATTAACTTTTAGCTAGAGCTCACCTAAAGGACTTCCACTGCTGTGTCACTGGTTTTCCACTCAAGCTGGATGGAAAAGAAACTCACCTGCACCGAGCTCTCTGTTCACCACCTTCCCCTGGGTATGTCAGAACTAACTTTGCTTGTTTATTGATCTTTTGCACTTTCCCCAATGGTATCGTGACCACTCTAATGTAACAGGGCACTGAGCACCTGTGTTTGTGGGGCTCATGGGTTTCAGCACTTATTTGCCAATAAACAAACTGCCTGACCTCCTGCCTCAGCATCCTCTGTGGGCTCAGGGCTGTCCCTGCTCTCCAGCAAAAAGGGGGACAGGCAGGGAGGCAAAGGGAGCAGCTCAAGGGAGAGCAGTGCCCTCCTGCTATCCCAGCCTTGGAATTGGGGGTAAAAGCAAAACAAAGCTGCCAATTCTTCCCATCCCACCCAAAACTCCCAACATGCCATAGGGCTGGAAATGTCTTGCTGTTCCTCTCCCAGATGACACATCTCAGTTGTACTACAGCTTCAGGGGCTCTGAGAAACAACAGCTCCTCCTTCACCTGAAGCAAAAATAGAGCACAGGATGACTTCAGCTGCTGAGAGACCAAAGTGCTATTCTAGATCTAACAGACTTTTGTTGTTGTTATGGAAACTAGATCTGCTGCTGATCTAAAATCCTAAAGCCTTGTCCCTCACACCCAGCTTGGAAAGAACTCCTGGGAGAGGAGGCTGTTGAAAGGCTCTGTAGTGCAGCAACAGTGCTTGCCTGTTCTACTTAAATGAAAGGGAACAGGGAAATCAAATGTGTTCCTGTTTTAGTTGGTTTTCCAATTGCCAGGATTACCACTCCCATAATCTATTAGAGATCTAATCCCTATCTATTTCCCCCCCACTTTCCAGCATGTGTGCCTTTCCCTCAGGCCAGTGTTTCCCTGTTATTCCTCTCCTTGGTACATTAAAGAGGAAGAACAGTTTGAGCAAAACCAGCAGCAGCTTAATGGTGCAGAAAATGGTGTCTCTTCCCTCAGAGCAGCCAGAAGGAATTCTGTTCCCTCTGCAGTAGAAAAAAAAGCACATGAAAAATCTATTGCTGCTCCTGCCCCTGTACAGGAAGGTGACACTCGTGCTGCTTCTCTGCAGATGTCAGTGGGAGCTCCCCTTGGCTGCATCCATCCCCCCTGTGGCTGAGGGACAACTCAGGACTGAAATGCTGCTGTAGCTCTGAAACACGTGTAACCAACAGCATCAACTGCTCTGTCTGGCACCAAAGGCTCCTGCCAAGCACCACAAACTCACTCTGGTGTTGAGTAAACATCTAAAAGAATCTATTACTTTTCCCTAAATTCTCTTCCTATCCATCCTTGTTAAACACCAGTGAAGTGATGAGCACCCTGTTCCTTCCAAAGCTGTAACAAAAGGAATGATCCCTACCAAAGTTATCCAGAAACAGCCCCTGCTGTAACAACCTATTCAGATGTACCAGACTGCAGCTTTGCTTCCCCTCCCCACAGCTCCCCTCACCCATTTGCTGTCTCTGCACAGATCTTTACCTCCAACTCTCCATGGCCACACTCAGTCCCCCCACGGCCACAGTTACCTCCCCATGGAACCACCACCAGGCTTAGGACTGTCACCACCTCCCTCACTGTCAGAGCAGCTCACCTCGTTTTGGTAGGTAAACAAGCCCCTCTCCCTTCCACTTTAAGACCATTTTGCTCCAGCCAGCTAGTTCAGATCTCTCCAAAGCCTTCAGGTCATGTGAAACTAGATAAAGCAAATGTGCCAGAATATTGCCTGCACTTAAGCTTACAAGGTAAAAAAAACAAACCTCAAAGCAAGATAATCTCATTTTCTCACTCCAGTCTCTTAAAACCATTGAGATTAGAAAGGTTCTGGCTGGTAAAGCAATTAAGTGTCTCTTTAGGAAAGAACTGGTAGGTTACTAGCTCACAGCTACACTGAAATTTGATTTTTTTTACCTTAGAGAAGTCTCTAGATTTCAGGCTTTATTTTAAGCAGTAATTACTGACCTTCTCTTAATGTCTCCATCACTGAGCCTCAGAACCTTAAAGGATTTGTTGATTTACTCGAGAGCCACAACACACAATGCACCTTCAGTGTAGACAGTGTCCCTTCCAATGTGACCCTCTGCCCTCCCTGGTGCTGCACAGGCAGGGGATGTGCAGGGGGAATCATCCCCGAGGAGTATTTTATAGTGCTGTTCATTTAAAACCTCCTACAAGTTCCCCAACATGAGAAAGGGAGTGGGTGTGGGGAAGCCGAGGGAATCAGCCTTTAATTACAGCCATTTCAAACAGCACTGGATCATCACTCCCAAACCACAGCCTTTGCTGGGACTTCAGCCCAGCAGAACCACCACCCAGACACTGCAGAGCTGCTGCTGTGTCCAACACAAACCCACGAACCCAGCTGCTGTCTATAAAGGTTTTAATATCAGTATAAATAGGGCACAGTTACAAAAAACTGCAAGACTGGAGCAATGGAATTTTGACGTAAAAACCTTAAGTGAGGCCTTGCTCTTCAGAAACACACACAACACACAGACTGCAGGGTGAAGGGAAGGCGTGAGCACACATACACCATCGTGCCTTGAACCACTCAGTACAAAAATAGCAGTAGAAAGATGGTCTCTGAATTGCTGGCTGATCCCTTGGTGTGCCTTAGCTGGACTCTGCGGGAGAGGCAGATTGCACCTTGTGACAGGAGCAGAGTTAATGCCCAGCAGAAAGTGTCTCCTCTCTCTATCCAGCCACAGCTTCCCCAGCTGAGGTACAAGCTATAAAAATAAAGGTTTTGACTGTTCAGTGCTTGTACCCAGGCAGGATGCTCTGGCAGAGGGAGTGAGCAGGCTGTGCACGCGGGCTGGTCACCGGAGAGCTGCTCTGGGCTCTCCTTACATTCACTCTGCTCCTGGGTGGCAAGAGTTCATGGGATCCCACTGCTCAGGTGACACCACTGCCCACACCTGGCCTCCCTCCCTTCCCAGTCCTTGTTCCAGCTCTGCCAAAGGTGATGCCTTCTGTGGTGGACATGAATCGTTCCGCTGCAGGTCCTGAAAAGGGAGGTAGGGCCAGGACAGAATCTATCTCTGCACGTGCCGGACAAAGGCCTGCACGAGCTGGAACAAGGGCTCCTGCCCCTCTGGACCCAGCTTGGAGGCAGACTTTCCTTGGGGAGAGGGAAGGACCCCGCTGGCAGGTGAAGAGGGACCACCCCGGCGGAAGTAACGAGACAGGCTGGAGAGCAGCGTGCTCTGCAATCAGAAGTGTGGAACAGGTCAGAGCTTCTTCCCACCACACGCCCTCTCCCTCCCCAAACCAGCTTCCCGTGGCACAGGAACGTGCCAGTATGTGCAGCCCAAGGCTGGTCATTCATGCTGGGCTTTACTGGGCAGCCACAGACAAGTGACCTTCTCCCACAGGACTCCCTGACCCCACACAGAGGAGGGCACGAGGTGCTCACCAGCTCTGAGCTGAGCTCCTGCTTCATCCGCTGCTTGTCCCGGGGGTGCACGGCCGGGTCCCGCAGGTACCGAACGGCCTGGGAGATGAGCAGGTAGAAACAGTTCTCCATTGTAAACATGAGCAGAGACCTGTGCAAAGAACACAAATAAAGGTCAGCACACAACACCTTCCAGGTCAAATGCTCACAGAAAGACTTCACACACACACACACACACGAGGGAACAGTGTCACTGTGCACATTCTGCTCAAGCAGCCATACCCAAAAGCTGTGCTCTGCAGACCAGAAACCCCTGTGGCCAGCAGGGAACTCTGATTTAGAAGTACCAGTAAATACGTATCAAACACCTCTTTAATTGCATCTTCAGTGGTTGATTTACGATGGGATGACTTCACACACCCTCCCCCCAAAAAAACCCTGCTTGCTTTGGAGAGCTGCTGATGGGCTACCTGAAGTCCTTGGATTCAGAGTGAGAAGCTCTGAAGCTACACAAATGCCTCTCAACTTCAGTTCTGATGTGAGGAGCTCTGGGTTCTGCTGCTTGGCCCTGACTACATCAAATAATTAGAAACTTACTTGAGGGTTTTGGTTCCCTCTTGCATATTCAGCCCTGCAGCCTGAGGGAAAGGTTCCTTCTTCTTATCCAGCTTGGAGGGAAAAAAAGACAGGCATTAGAGACAGGAGATAAAAAAAGAACTACTCCTGCTCTTCGAAGTATGAGCTGAAGGAGCACCCTGGGGTTGCTGGACCTGCTGTGCTCCCAGAGAGGAAAGGGGCAGTACCTCTCCCAGCATGTTCAGGGCCACGTTGACTGTGGCCAGGAGTGTCCCAAAGGAAGGGGCGACGTCTGAGTCGAAGGCTGGTGTGGTGAAACTCAAGACGAAGAGCACGTTGTACTCAGCAAGGTCCAGCGACTGCAGAGACACAGAAAGAGGTGTGAGACCCTCGAGGCCATGAGCGTGTTGTTGCCATAGGAACGGGAATATCCAGTCCCTCATTATGCTTTTTATATGGAGAAATAGAAGCACTGTGATAATTTCACAAGTCTCAGGTGTACAGATGGAGCAGTGAAGTGTTCTGTGCAGCACTGCACAACCAGACTCTGCTCACACAGCTCCCATCACTGGCACACCAAGGCACTGACTGCTTCCACACTGGTGTATGTACCCAGAGGCACAGGAGAAGGAAGTTCCCTATCCAACAGTCAGCAGCAGGACACTGCCAGAGTCAAGGATTAAACCCTCCTTTTCTGAACCTGGAGACCAGCCACTGGGTCACACCACAATGGGAGGACAGCAAGGGCATTCTTTCCTGAAGAATGTGTACTGAGGGCACAAATCCACTGGGTTATTGTCTGCTCCAGTGAGGTCACACAGACAGAGTGTTGTGTAGATCCCACAAAAGCTTGGCCAAGCCTTCCTTTCACACTGACCAGTGTCTGATTCCCAGTGGGAGTTCCTTGTGTCCTGCCCTCCTGCTCTTGTGCAGCAGGAAGCAGACAGGGGTCACTGTCTCAAGCAGGACATACTGTGCCTCACTACACAGACCCAGAACATCCCTAGAAATGCTGGAATCTCCCCCCTTCATGGAGCAGCACCTCTCCTCTGTCCCTACCTGGTCAAGGAGGATCTGGCAGACATCGGGGGTGAAGTGGCGCAGGGCAGCAAGAGACTTGCTGAGGATCTTCAGGAGGCTGTACTGCACTGTGAGCAGGGCCTTCTGCTCTGCTGCCTCTGACTCGGGGCTGGGATGTTTGGAGGAGGCCTGGGGATTCCGCTGCACTCGGGGGGTCACACTGGATGGAAGGGAATCGCCGTTTTTTGTCTGCAGAGAGAGAAAAAAGAAAGTCCTGAACACCGACACGGTTATTTTGCACTAAGACAAATGATTTGAGGGAAAAAAAAAATGTTATGAACAAAGGGAATGAGGAAAAAAGGCTCCCAAAGTCTGCCACCAGCTGAGAATCTACGCTTGGCATGGACTGGGGAGGCTCTGCATTGCAGGGAGGCAGCTGCAGAGGCTGTTTAGGTTCAACAATTTTAGGAAAACAATAATCAGCACACCAAGCCTGAGCCACGCTGAAATAACACAGCAGCAGCAATGCATCTTCTCCACCTCGTGCATCTGAGGATGTCCCAAGAACAAGAACTATGTTCCTTGAACAAATTAAATCAGATCAAGGACATCAGGGCAACAGTGGCTTATTAATGGCATTCCAGAGTCCTACAGCAATGCAGCCTCTTGCTGCAGTGTATAAGGACAACAGCACCATTCAACACAGGCTGCTGGTTCTCTAGGACTGGCTTTACTCTGCCCAGAGGTTTTTAGACTCCAGACTACTCTTTGCATGCTTTTTTTTTCACTGTGGAGAAACACAAATCCTACCTGTTGATGACTCAGTAATTCCCACTAGGATTACCAACAGTCCATTCAATATCCAAGAGTCTGGTTATTCAATAACATCTGCCTATGAACAGGGAGCACAGGCAACACTTAACTCACAGTTTGGTTTGGGATCCTCACCTGCAGGTAGTGCTGGAGCATTTTGCGGCTGTGCAGGAGGGAGGTACAGGCCTGACAGAGGTAACACAGATTCACCTGAAATAAATAAGATCAGGGAAAAAGCTCTTAAAAGCTCAAAACCCACAGGTGGAAGCTGGAAAATCCAGTTAAACAGAGAACTGTGATCATAAAGGATCCATAAGAGAGCACTGTGATCATAAAGGATCCGTGCAGTCTCTCCATTTTTCAGTATTTTCTTGGAATCACCTGGCACTAAGAACTAAGGGTAAGCCACTGAATTCCCCAAGTTATTTTCCCAAGCTATAACTTCTCTTTATTTCCTCACTCAACTCAGACAAGGTACTGATAGAACACACACTTAAATAATCTCAGCTGAAGTTCCTATTAAAAGAGCAGTAATAAAAAGGTGATATAGTGACATTTTCTCACAAGACATCCAAATCCCTGCACTCCAAGGCAATGTATATCCTGGTTCCTACCTGCATGTCCCTCATAAGCTGTGGCAGGTGGAAATGCCATTCCTTTGTGAAATTTGAGAGCTGAAGAATGAAGCCAACAGTGTGATCTGCCTCCTCCAGACAGGCCAAGCTCTGTACTGTCCGTACTGCATTCAGGCACTGCAAAGGAGACAGAAGTAAATCAAGGCCATGACAGATAAATCACAAAAATCCCATTCCTTCCTCTAGAAGAAAAAGCTGAAGGTGCAGTCTGCAGTGACACAGTCCAGCCAGGACAGGTATTTCAGCATTGCAGGACACGAGAATTTGCTGACCCCAATGGTGACTGAGCCCTCACCACAGCATTATCTGAGCCAGGCTGAGCTGAAGCCGCCTCCAAGAACGGCTCCTGTACTTTTCTTTCCAGAGCCACGGCCACAAAGTGAGCTCCCCTCAAACTCCCACTTCTGCTACTCTTGAGTTGGCATATTAAACATCTGCAGCAAAGTTACAACCCCAGGAGTGAAGAGATGAGCAGATGGGACTGTCCAGCTCTAACAGGTACTGTAACAATCATCCCTACCTGACTGCACGGCTTGTGCATTCTGTCCTCCTTCTCCCACTGTCGTGTTACTTCTACTGTGACCCTTCCTGAGGCAGGAGCCTCTTGTCAATGCTGTTTTCTGACATCTTCCCACTGTTATTGGGACAGAGAAGCCAAGCAAACCACGCCGGAGGGAGTCTGTGGCCTACCTGAAGGATCCTCTCCTGATGGACACCCACGAAGTCCAGCGCTTCTGTCAGGAAGTTGTATCTCAGTGTTTTGAGCAGGCGTTCCATGAGGGACATGGAGAGACGATAGACCCCAGGCCAGGAGGGGGCATCCAGAGACTTTCGGGATGAGGCAGATGTCTGAACAAATCACACACAAGAAGAAGCCACTTATTTCCCTCCACGCCACTCCAGCAGCCTCCAGTCTCTAAGGGTGGCACTGCTCCAGCCACAGCCCAAGAGGCAGGGCATGGGGAGCTCTCTGGGCACATTCCCACATGGAAGGAAGCAGCACCCACCTGAATGGCTCCGTTTGTGCTGAGCTGGTACACGCTCAGGAGGGGCAGGCAGACACTCTGGGTGACACCAGCTCCAGCCATTGCTGCTGCTCCCTACAAGACACAGAACAAACTGCTGCTGGAATCTGCCTCCCTGAGACTGAAGAGACTTGTTTTGCATTAGGTATTTCTGTCCTTTGCACTGTCACTCCCCTTTTAGAGAACTTTCATCTACGCACGCTGTGATGCTGTTAAAAGTTCAACATCAAGAAAAGAAACAGTAAAATCTAACCTGCATAACTGTACTCTCAATCCCATTTATCACCTGCTCTGGTATGTACCTCATCTTTGCAAAGGGCTTTGGAACAACCTTGCTTTCACCTAAAGCCCCACACAAGTTGAATTTGCAACAGATAAATAACACTTTATCAGAACTAATGAGGAAACAGGATCAAACACTCAATGCTGGTTTAACTTTTTCCGTTCAGAAAAAGTGCCTGCTCTAAATGACAGGTTTGCCCTGGCTGGCTTAGCTCTTCCATCTGAGCCAGGTACACTAAGCAGGTGTACATACAGGACCTAGTGCTTGCCAGCTTCCAAAAAAACCCCTTTATCTACAGCTCATTGTTCAGCTGCATCACAGACTCATGAATATACATCTCCTATTCAAAGTGTACAGCCATGTGCTCTCACTCCTCTGCATCTCTCACCTGTTGAGTCCTTGCTAAGGTCAGCAGCAAATGTAAAGAGGCCTCTGTGAAGTGAAGGTTTTGTTTAACTCTCAGGCTGATCTCCAGTGCAGCAAAGATAGTAGGAAGCACAGGGACTTTCCTAGTAATCTGCAGCCAGTAGTCTCCATCTTCATCCACCTCACAGAGCTCCTTGGCCAGATGCAGACCCAGGACACACACCTTCAGTGACAAGGAGAACCAGATACAGGGGTTACAGGGCTGATATGAGTATCAAGAGAAATCTCAAAAGCATTTACTAACACAACCTAAACTTCAGTCATTCTCAGAATCATAAATTAAGGCCCCTGGTATCTCTCACATTACACTCTGCACACCCCTTGGTGGCTGTATTAGCACTCATGACAATATTTTTTAGATCTGAAGGAGAGGCAGCAACAGCTGATTTCCCAGACTGAAATGAGCAAAAAGACATGGAGTGATTCTGAAACAGAAACTGCTGACACTTCCTTTGGAGGCATCAGGCTGCAAGGGAAAATTGTTCCAAGCATCATGAAACTTTAGCCTAGAGAGAAGAAACCAGGGTGCAGAACAGAGGAACAGGTCCTTTACCCCATCTCGCTGGTCTTTGTGCTTCACTCGGGAGGCATCGTCCGTCTCCATACTGTCCTTGTCATCTGCAGCCTCTCCCGAGGTCAGGCTGTGCCGAGTCTGGTCAAACAGGGCAATGACCTCATCCTGGAGTGTCTCACACACACTCAGCACCAGCTGGGAGTACTGGGGGATGTCACTCACTGTGACACACACAACAGACACCAGTTAACACACAGTCCCTGTACTCGGGTTCCCAGTTTAACTGACAGCATCACTGAGCCACATTTCTTGGAGTTAAGTGTTTATTCTGCTCTCATTTCAACAGAATGTGATGAACTGTGACTAAGTTAGATGACTGAGTCTAGGAGGATATAATAAGGGATGAAATGGTCATCTGGATAACAAAACCATGTAGTTTTACCCAGAAGTCATATGAACTCATGTCAAAGTACAAATCAAGCACTACTATGGATGTATTATTCCATAACTGCTCCTTATAGCAATTCCCACCAATTGCTCCAGATTTCTGGTATTGGCCCATGCAGATTGGGTACAGTCTGTGCTCTGTGAGTCCATATAAATATTACATTCTTATCAAAACTGTTATAATAAATTGCACCACCTTTTACCAGCATGACTACAAACTCAAATTCAACAGCAAAGAAAAACAATTAAAAGGCAACCCAACCTTCCACTTTCTATCTATTTTCCAAAACATGTGGGCTGGCAGGGCCCAAGCAGTGAGACAAGGAATACACAGACAAGCTGACACTTCTCATCACAGTGCTTTTGTATGTGCTGTACAGGGAAATACTGCTCAGATTCCACTGAGGGTCTTCAAGTGCTACTGCAATGTCAGAAACATGTCATTTTGTAACAAAGTGTACAAACCCTTTCTAGTGTTTGGGCCTTCTGTTATTTCTAACTAGAAATTCATTCCCTCTGTGAGAGAGCCTGACCAGGGTGTCCCTCCCACACCCGCTGAGGTATTTCCAAAATCACATGGGAACCAAACTGATCAGACACAGAGGTGACTGTCAGGGAAAGACAAGAGAAGACATGGACACAATGTGAATGATAAACCTAATTTCTTTCCAAAACTAGCTAAAGCAAAGAAGAAAAAATGAGAAAAGTCCCACAGGTTGGTGACTCCCTTCAGCACCCTGCACTACCCACCAGCACCACACACATGTTCCTCTTGGACACACTGGGTGCAGGGTGTGCTCAGCCCTGCACATGCACCACCTCACCTTTCATCTCCTTCATTTGCAGGACAGTGATAAGAGCTGAGAACACTTTGGCTTTGGTTTTCTCCATCATCTGCTGATCTGCCTGTAGCACTCCCTCCAGAATCTGCGTCAAGGAGTTTATGATTTTATCCACAGAACTCAACTCGCTGACAACAAAAAGGGAGAGCTCTTCAGATTAGACAAGATCCCTCAATAAATATACTGGCTTGACTGAGCTGTGTGGATCATAAGTTACATGATCCACACAAATAAAAGCAGTTCTTCCAAAGTAAAGTTTAAGTCACCACCTGGATCTCACTAAAGACATTCCACAGAATGAGAGAATGCATTTTCCCTTCACTGTGAGAATGAGAGTGAGAATGCAGGACTAACCATCACAAAAGTTCTTTTGATATTTTTCACCAGCAAGCAGAAAGCCAAACTACAAACTGTATTCCTACTAGAGATTCCTTTGAATTTCAACAACAACCTAGGAACATTTTACATCCCAAAAGAAAATTCTATGAGAAGGCTTAAGTTTCCTCCCCAAATCACTATGGGCATCTCTCTAGAGCAAAAGATTTAAACATAACCTCCCAAGATTTTACTTCCAGCAGTGACTAAAAATTAACCAAACAAAATACCCACCTCTTCCACTGTTTGAGCAGGATCAGAAGAAGGGTACACAGCATAGAGCCCAGCTGCAGGCAGGCCACTGACATGGGAACCTGGAGCTAAGGAGAAATACTGCAAGAGTTACAGCTGCAACATGTAAGAACACTTCAGAAATGCTCAGCCCAGAAATGCTCAGCCCAAACACTGCCACCAAATGACCAGGTTTGTTCTTCAGCAGCACTGAGGGGACCAGAGCCAGGACCCTCACAGGTCCATTCAGTGATGACAAGAATGACACATGCAAAATAAAGATTTATAAGCAGCTTATCAGTCCAGGAAGAGACACTTTGTTTCAGCCCAATTTCACGGGTCTAAAAAGCTCTATGACAGCAAGCAACTGCAGAAATAGAACCCCTCATAATACAAAGAAGATGAACAATTAGAAAATGAAAGAGCTGATAGGAAGCAGCACCTACCAAAACCTTGGTGCCATTTAGCACGTCCAGAAACAACTGCTCATGAACTGCAGAATCAGTCAGGTGCATGATATCCGCCTAGACCCAAAGAGAAAAATCAAACAAGAACAATAAAAGATGCATCTTCTTAGCAGCCTAACATCAGTTCACTGTTTCAATCTATCACTTTTAGAATTCCCCAAATTTTGCAGCTGATGAGTTTTAGAGAAATCACTGAAGTTCTTCATTAACCACGGGCAACAAGTCAGCAATGATTAATTCTCTAATGGTGCATCCCTGCCTCACTTGACTCAGAAAAAGCTCTTCAGCATTACCTAATTACTGAGAATTGCTCTAAAAATTATTTACTACCTCCCTCCTCTGCTCAGACAGACAATGTGCTCATTTTGATCAAACAGCAGAACGCCACCCACTCTAACCTCTTGTGCCACACTCGTGCCAACGTGTGTTGAAATCACATATACTACAAAACTGAAAGGAAAACCAGTGAATTCTTAGCTGTTGACACTGAATTATTCAAAATGTTAGTATCAGACTGTCATGCCAGGCAAGAGGCAGCCCTTACATGGCTTGTGGAGATGATGAGCAGCATCCTCCAGGCCGAGATGAGCATCTGATACTCTGTCACAGAGGCACAGCTGGTGCCCTCGGTCTCTGCCACGTGTTGTGCCAGTGACTTCACGTACTCTGACCAGTAGGCAAAGCGCTTTTTGGTGGAGAAGTTCTTCAGCGTGTCTTTCAGGGACTGATCCAGAGAGCCCCTGACCAAATCAAGAGGAGAAGTTTATCTTCATTTGTTCTTGGGTCAGAAAATACACTTCTTCTGAGATTCAGGGACACAGCTTGCAAGTGAAGGGTTTTCCACATATTAGACCTGTGCAGGGAATCCCACTTTTTGCATCAAATGTGAAGGAAAAACATGATCTCTGAAGAAAATCTATGATTTTTTTTTTTTAAGCAGAGATTTTAGTTAATCCTAACTTTTCAACATATTCAATGTCAGTTATGTTCAGGAAAACAAATCAAGTGGGAGAAAACTACTAAATGTGATTCAGCAACCAATACAGAAGGTTTAGTTAGCTTAGTTGACAATTAGTTTTAACAAATACTGTATATTCTCATTCTAGGATACAAGGAAAATGCTAATACATTCTCATCTAAAGGCTGCAAGCAGACTAATATCTTTCTGCAACTAGTGATTGCAAGAATCTGAAATGCATGCTTGCAATGTGTTCATAAATCACTCCCACATTTTCACAGGATTACATGTGCTTTGTCCCTCAAAGCCCACATGGTCTGTCAAGAGTTAACACACAGAGTTTAGATAATTAAAAAGTACAGGGATGAGGGAGAAACTCCCAAAGACTCACTTGACAACATAGTAGATCTCCAAACAGATAATTTTCATGATTAAGGCACAGGTATCCAAGACACTGAGCTATGAAGACAAAAAAAAAGCAAAATCTGAGCTCTGAAGAGTAAGTGGAATTCTGATTTATCCCTATCACTTGGGATGACTAATATTCCACTAGTGCAGGAGACTTGTTTCTCCCACAATAGAAACAGTTATGTCATTTGACCATGGACTGGTGACAGTAAGGACAGAATGCTGTGTTCAGAGCAGAGTTCAAACTCTGAGAGCACTGGGCCTTCAGAATGAAGGGAAAAACTCCCACAGAAAGGAAGAATAACAAGAACCTGATCTATTCCTCTGTGATACCAGTCAGCCTGAGCTATGGATACACTTCAGACAGCACAACTTCCACCCAGTGAGTGTCACCACAGCTGTCAGGAAACATCTATTTTTGTCTGACATGTGAATTAAGAGCAGAGAATTCCAAAAGACAGTTCATGGCTGTACAGTCTCTGCAAAGCCAGAAAACATTCACTTCATGTCCTGTGCTTAACCCACTTAATCATAGAAAGCTGCAAGCAGAGGGAACAGCCACACATCACTTAGAAACCACTTCTGAGAAGTGCACAACTCCCTTCACTTTGTTTGGATGTAACTCACCTCTGATGATTCGGAAGGCGGAGGAAGGGTCCCAAAGAGGGGATTAGTTAAATTTTCCCAAAACTTTGGCCTAAAAGATACATACAGAAGTACCATCAGTTACCTCCCCCATGCCTAGCAGCATTTTGACAACTTCAAGCTTTACAGAAAATATGCTTTGGTAAACACAAATTTATATAGCTTTGTATGAAAGAAACAGAAAGATATTTGCTTCTGAACACGCACAGGGGGGCTTCTCATCTTCCAAGCTCAAACCCCACACACTGTATGGGCTTTGAGGCAGGGCACGCAAAGTCTAAGATGTAAATGTCCCTGAAAAGTGTGATGAACCAAACTTCTGGAGAAAGGGAAGGAAACTGCCTTGTAGAAAAGGCCCAACTCACTTTGTCCTCAGCACGAGCATGGCGCTGTCGCGCCGGTCCTGCCACAGCGCGTGCAGGAAGGCGATGGCAGCTCTGTGCAGGAGGGGAGGGCACCAGTACCTCTCCTGCTGCTTGGAGTCAATCAGCTCCAAGACCACTTGGAGGCAACTCCACTCCCCCAAGCTGAACTCCTAAAGCAAAAGGAAACAGGAGGTTACGTCACCACGGGACCACTGTGTAGGCACCTGTCAGAGCACAATGTGCTTAATTCCACTTACACAGAGAAACAAATCTATGATGCTGTCATGTATTTTATATAGGACCACAAGGAATGCAGTCATAGCACAGGAGACACAAATAAAATTTATTGGGAAATAGAATGTAAGCTAAACTGAGACTTAGTATGGCCAAGTGCCTTCAAAAGGTCCCAGAAGACCTTGAACTGCAAAGCACCAGAGTGGGTATTCTGGAAAATTATATTGTCCATTGTACCCCAATCTTCAGCTTTCTCACAGTCAGAGCATCACAGATTAGTGTTTTAAGGGTACTTAAAGAACACTCCCACAGAGAGTCAAGAGTGGGTCACAGGCATCCTTGGTCTGACTCAGCACATGTTATTATGCTGACTCAGTATCTGCCTTGAAATACTGGGGGAAGTTTCTCTTTGGTTATAAGGAAAAGCAAAACTGGGATAGCACCACATCCATTAATTGCAAGCACAAGCTGCATTTATCTTTACATTAAGCACACAGTAGGAACTACCAGATTTTAGAGACTGGTGCTGTAATCCTACTGTGAAAAGACCTTGGGCGAGTATCTGCCGTTGTACCTTTGACCCATCGCTGCCATCCTTCACTTCCAAGTTCAGAAACAGCTCGATGAGCCCAGGCTGTGTCTCCACAGCCACGGTGAGGAACTCCAGGATCATGACCTTGATGCGCATGTCCTCGATCCTGCTCTGCAGGTGGGTCAGGAAGGCGTCGCGGATGGCGGCGGCATCGCTGCCCAGGCAGGCGTACACGGACATGGGAGCGACCTGCACAGGGACACAGCACCCCAGGGAAAAATAACCACCCTGTACAGAATGCTTGTCTATATAAGAGGTGATCTGCACTGTCATGGACCTCCAAAATATTCAATATTCAATCTGTGAGGGCGTACTCAGAAGTAAGTTGCCACTAAGCGGGAAGAAAGCTGCCAAGTGATCCAAATTTTCGTCTTTGGCAATTCTGGTCTATCCCTCACCTCCTTCTCCCAGGTTATCAAAAAACTAGAAAGAGCAAAACAGCTTTGGAATTGTATTTCTTGAAATAAATAAACCCAGAGCTGGATTTATATTCTTTAAGAAAACTACAAATACTCAGAAGTTTAGTAGCCAAAGAGAGGAAGTCTAAAAGGCTTAGTAAATCTAGAGTCTGCTTTTTAGTAAGTCTAAAATTTGAAAGGTCCTAATAAAAACTTAAATAGGATGCTCTTCTCAGTAAGATGTTAAAATTCCAGGTAGAAAGGCATAGGAATTTTGTCTAAGATTCTGACTTTATCTAAAATTGCTCAAAAATTGGGAAGAGATCAATTGGAGCTGTAAATACTTTGCAGATAACATCCCCCTCATGGGAAACTTCTCAGTGAGTGCTGAGTGACTTCTGAAAACAGCAGATTAGGTTAAAAAACTAAAGTGCCCTTTAGGTGATTTTTGATGTGCTCCACCTTACAGCTGTCAGGCCACCCTGCTTCAACTGACTTGATTAAGCTCCCTGATTAAAAAAAAAGCCTGAAGAAATTATCTGGAAAGAATTTCAGTGGTGGAATCAGTCACAAGGGGAGAAGCAAAGGAGCACTGGTGTGTCTCATCTCACCGTAGCCAGTCGTTTGAGCAACTGGATGGCCAGGCGTGGAAGTGCAGGGTCATGCTTGTGGTAGATGTATTTGGCCAAGACAGCAATGAGATTGTTTCCATGAGCACCTGGAGAGAACACAATCGAAATCACAGAGAAGAAAGAGCAACAAGATATAACTATTTACCAAATAATGATTTCCGCAGCAGAAAGTGGGAACTAGGTTGTTCTCCCAAAAGAACAAGGCCTGGGTCCAGCCAGAGGCACTAATGGCAGCTGATTTAGTATACTCTGTAATTACACTAATCTCATTACAAAGCATCAAACAATAAGCCATGTTTGATTAATCCTTTAGAAGCTGTCCCAGTGGGGCAGAATGCCTCAGAGGAGGGAGAAGAGTCCTCCTCCCATCACTAGCAAGCACTTTTTGGAAACCTTAACTACTGTTTGTAGTGAGACACACACACTGGCATTTGCAAAGAACCCAAAAGCACAGCTCCCCAAGCTGCCCCAGGGAGGAATACCCACCATGCTGAGTGAGTGCCTGCTCCAGTGGAGACACCACACTGGACGGGGGTTTGAGCCGGATGACGTTGTTGGTGACGGAGAACGCCAGCTTAACTGTCTGGATCAGCAGCTGCCCCTGGCCTTGGGACTCATCACTGTGTTCCCAAAGGAAACCAAAGTCACTGTGTTGACAATCAACATTTATTATTTGCACAACATTCAAAGAGGAAACTCAGTACTCCATGGGGGGTTATGTTTTCACTCAGAGTGTCATGTCAGCACACAGAAGATGCCAAAACAGCCACACCCCACTCACCTGCTGGACTGGGAGGCCATCACCATGTCAATGGTGTCCACCCCAATGCCCATGATGTTGATGACAGCTTGCCCTGCCTCTGTGTTGGCCAGGCTGAAGATGCACAAGGACTGCAGGCTGGGAGCATTGCTGGGACACACAAACACAGAGTCACAAGGAGCAGGATTTTGCTACACAGGACTTAAAAAACTACCACAAAGTAACCTCTTCATTTCTACACCCCCATTGTCCTTTCCTTTATTCTCCCTTCTACTTTCATGACAGTGGCTACACCAAATAGGAAAAGTGGATGGCAGTCTGTCCCAGGAAATCTAGGTACTTTTTTCTCCTTTTCACCAGGTGTTCTAGAAACCTCTGTGGTTTTGTCTGTCCCTAATCTTTTTCTACCCTTCCTGTACTCAGTAATGCAGCAAAGAGCTGAAACCAGCACTACACAGCTATGCCAGCTCCCTCCTAGTTGTTTGCATTTCAGAACTGACACAGAATAATAGTGAATTCTGCACTGTTACCAGGTTAGTGCAGATCTGACACCCATCACTTGTCTTACCTGCTGCGAGGATCCATTTCAGGGCATAAATTCAGTATAGCATGGATTAGCTGCAGAATTAGGCACCCTAAAACAGAGATAAAATGGGTCAGTCAGGTTTGGAGAACTTCTGCCTAGTTCCTACTATTTTCAAACAAATCACAGCTCTAACAATACCAGAAGACATACAATACAAATCCCAAATGGCTGCTAGAAAAGATATGATAAAAAAAAAAGAAAAATTCACATATTCTGTTGAGAAGGCAGGTGATCCTTTTTATTCCCTTCTCCTCCCTCTTCCTCCTTCAAGATCCTTACCGATTTTCTCTCTCACTCCATGAGAGTTGTATCTCCATTTGTGGTAATTTGGTAACATCTCCTTCAGGACAAACACGATGCAGGGCACAAGGCCTTGCCTCCGGGTGCTACCAAGTTGTCCCTAAGAGAAACAGAAATGTTATTTAACCAGGAGGGGGACAAAGGACAAGAAAACTGTTGCAGGAAGATATGCCTTATGTCACTTCCCAATCACACCAGAGCATTCCAGCAGCACTCACCCGGACAAGGGTTGTCACGAGGTTCAGGAAGGAGATGGTGACACTGTACTCGCCCTGGGGCTGTTCTATGCTCATCAAGAGGTTCCCATAGCCCCCAGCATTCATTCCCTCTGCACTGTGGAAGGAGCAAGAGGGTTCATCACATGAATAGCAGGATTCTGACACGAGTGAGAGATGCCAGGTGCAGAGACTGCACACTGGGAAAAAGTTCTTACGACACGTCAGGCAAAAAAAGTGGGGAGGGATCATGAATACCTAATCATGTGATTCATACTGGAGAGTGGATTGGCAACAAATGGTAAGAACCCTGTGTGGTGAAGGTCAGTCCAAACCTGCATGAGAAAAGGTACAGATATTCCCTCTCATTCACCTATAAATGTCTACCAGTTCTCACACCCAGCAAAAACAGGTCCTTCCCTCACCTTGGCTGGCATCCGAGCAGCCAGGACTGTCAAACAATTGACACAAGAGGCAATAACATCCACAGGGGGAGAGATTACAGTTGTCAGCCTACAAAAGAGAAACACACGCATGAAATGCACTGCCACCTGTGGTCTAGCCTATTTACTGGGTTTTTTAATCAAAAAAGCTTCTCTCTCACTGAAGAACACAGGTATAACATCTAAGCAGGTAAATACAGACAGCAGAGTTTGCACTTTCAGTCTAGACTTCCCACCTCCCCCTCACACCTGAGTCAGATCAATTTACTGCCAGAGGCAAGGCTGGCAAGACAGCAGGTTGTCACAGAGAACAATAATTATACAGCAGAACATTAATTCCCTGGCAATTAACTCCAGGAGGAGCTAATAAGTACAACTGTTTTAACACCCAGGAGTTACTGCTCTAACACTATGTTTTATCCCCCTTCCATGTAAATGTAGGTACCAATAAAAACTACCTTTAAATGGGTAAAACTGGCAAAACATTCAGGAAAGAGGTGGAAGGGGGGCATTCTGCTGCAAACAGTGTGTAGGCAGAACAGTCTTGAGAGCTGAACACCAGTCTTGGGGAGTTCAAGTGCTGACACTTCTTGCAAAGCTCTTGGCAAAAATCAGTAATTAGCCATTCTTCCAGCTCACTGTACCTGCTCAGGTACCTCTGTTGGCAGTGACTCACCTCTGCAGGAGCATGTAGATCCGTGATGTGATTGGAAGAAGGCAATCTGCTATTGATGCATCAGTGCTGATCACTTTATGAACCAGATCAATTATGGGCTTGACCCTCTGGCAATGCTGAATCACATCTGGGTAAAGAAAATCAACACTAGAATGCAAAATTGTACTTAAGCAGTAATCAAACCTGGAACGATGAACATTATCCTCACCACAAGCCTCCACGATCATTCCCCATGCTGAAAAACATTTATTTTATTTATCTCAACTTCCTCCTCATTTAAAATGAATCTTGTCTCACTACATGGTCTTACCATGTAGTGAATTTTTTTTGCAGTGAATTTTACAGAATAATCATCATCATCAGGTCTCTGGTAAAACATTCCACGCTCTTTCAAAAGTATTCAGTCCTACTACTAACCTCTAATCGATACCAATTAATAATGACTTATTCTTTTATACTCCCAGCCTGTCTCACCTGCTGTTGATACAACATGGAGCAGCATCTCAATCTCACAGGTGAACAGTGTCCAGCTGCTGTAGGAATACTCCCACCGTACCAAATAAGCCCGATCATCCAGCATCACCTGGCCCACTGTTCCCTGAGGTATCCGTAGATTTGTTTGACCTAATCCTAAAGATAGAAAAAGCAGATGAAAAAGTCACAAATTAGTTATAAGCCAGGTAAAGAACTGAATTCCCCAAAGCATTTCAATAAGAAAAGAAGTGCAGTTTCCTTACCAAGAGGATAGAGCAGCTTTGGGGCCTGTCTTCGCCACAGTGTCCCGTCTTCATGGGAGATCACATCCGGAGGTTTATGCTTGTACAGTTCAATATAGAAGGACATTTTATCCAGGAAACTGTATACCTGCACCAGAGAGAGCTTCAACAATACAGCCAAAGAGCCAGAGCTTCTTAAATATTAATCAACCAAGTCATCTCCAGGAATCAGCAAGTTTTGTTTTTATGTACAATATTCTTCTAATACATCGACCCTACCAAAACACTATTACACAGCCCACATGTCCAGACAAGTCTCATCTAATGAATCAAGAACTTCTTATCAGTAAAGCACCATGTAAAAACTAGTCAGCATCTTCATCTTGAGCCACTAGGCTTGGAGAGATTTCTAAAAGCCAGACAACAGAGTCCTGCAACAGCACAGGGCTAAGACTGCAACTGAGGTAAGCACACGTAATGGAAAGAACCACAGAGCATTTCATCCCTGTCTTGGAATAAATCACCTCCCAAACAGCCAAGAGAGATCCTGTACCTTTTTTGCAGTAGATTTATCAGATACAAGGGCTTGGAGCAGCTGAAGGAGGGGAGTGAGAAGATGGGGGAACATCCCACACACACTGTCCAGGATAATACCCAGACCTGCAGTAGGTTCCTGGTGGTGGAAACAGAAAATAAATATCTTATTACTAAAAAGAAAAGCTAAGAGGGTCTCAGTACAGCACAAAGCTACAGCTCCTTTTTAAGCTGTGCATTTAACATTAATCATGCACGAAAGTATCACTCCAGTCCTTGCACAGACTAAAGCACGAGGCAGTTCTGCAAGTATACGGCAAGAAGTAAGACTGTAAGGCATTACATGTCATCCTAATTCTGTGGCAACAAAAAATAAGCAGGATGCTTTTGCCAGCAGTTAGTTCAATCCTTGCAGCCCCAGCCCTGCTATCAACTATCACCTATATTAAAACTCGCTCCAGTATCCTTTTCAAGAGTAAAGCCAAGGCTGTACCTAAAAGGCAGGAAAGGGCAAAAGTAAATCAAAGATAGATGCAAAAGAACTTTAGCTCCTCGGGCCCTCCTAGAAACCAACTAACTAAACACTACCAGTCTGTTCCTTTCCTATAAGAGAATCTTTTATCAGGGCTTAGTTACAAACAAGGTAGGTCAAACAACTTGCCAACACACTCACCGTCTTCCAGAAGAGCTGAGGAATGCTGGAAGCTGCCAGAACTTCACATGCAGCATCAATTATATCCTACAAAGGAAGAGAGGATGGAAAAAATATCAAAGCTACTTTACACAGCGGGGTTTCATCCCAACCAAGTTCTGCAACATTTCTGGAATTTAAGTTTTCATGTTTGCCCACCAAGATGTAACTGTTTCCTAGAGTCAAAACAGAAACACACACTCAACATACCCAACTCCAGACCCCACAGCCAGCTGAACCCATGCAACTCATCTAAGTTTGCAATTTAACAAATAATTAGCATCAGTTATGACAGATTATTTTAAATTATTTTACAGATGCAAGGGGCCTTGGGTGCTTACCTGCTGATTGCCCAATGTATGTAATTCCAGTGATGTCAGGACAAAGGAAAGAAGCCCATAAATACACATGCAAGCTGTGCTGGCAGTACACTGCAAGGGAAGAACACACAGAGACACAGGCTGTGAATTACAAACACACTGCAACTCTACTCAACGTGCTTTACACACTGAGTTACTGCCTTTCTCATACATCCTTGCTGCACAGGGGCAGCAAAACAGGGAGCAGTCATTACTTAATCTCCACATTAACATGAAATAGTTGACTGAAATGAGAAATCTTATCACTACCATTATCACCAGAAATGCCTTCCAGACATCAAAATAAAAAAACCCACTTTTTTTTAAATTTTGTGTTCACAGATTATTTATTTATTTTTATTAAGTATTCATATTTTTTTATTAAGTGTTCATAGAAATCTAAATTATTTGCTGTCACTGGTTTCTACCTACAAAGTCATTCACTCTCACACACAGTGTTGTCTAATGAAACCATATACAGAGAGTAGTGCAGAGTTAAATCATCCAGTACTGAAGATCCATAATGGCAAATACACTATAGAGGCAAATCAGCAAATGTGATTAACTGCAATCTATTCTGCTACAACTGACTGTTTTGTTTTACTCTTTGGGCATAAAAATCAGTTTCATTCCAACTTGATTCCTGATCATCACTGAAAGAAGGCAAGATGACAGACCACACTTTACTGCACACTGCTTAAAACCAGACTTAGCTTGAAAGAACACTGGTTCAAAATCATCCTATCACAGCTTTACACCAGGAGCAGTTAAATCAGGAGCTCATATACAGGATTATAAGAAACTCACATTCTTGCCCCCACTGCTGAGGGATCGCAGCAGCTTTGTCAGGTACTGGAACACGTTGAGCTGGATGGCAGTGCTGCCCATCCTCCTGATCATGTTTGTGGGCTCCTCTGGGTTTATGGTGTGACGGAGCAGAGCCCAGGCCAAGAGCACCGGAGCGTGATGGGAGACATCGCCCAACTGCAGCAGCTGATTGTCCATCTCCTGCACAGAGACAAAAGCAAAATAACTGACATCTCCTGAAAGCAGTTCACACTCAACAAGCTGACTGTGCCTCTCATGTTATGTGGATGCCAGTTCCTACACTCGGTCAACAAACCCAAGGACGAGAAATGCACAGACACAGCAGTGCCTGGGTAATCACAACAAATTCTGTTCTCTTAGTCCTGACAAGGGGTTGGTTACTGTGCCAGTGCTTTACCTGGTGGATGTGCTCACTGTTGGCCATCTTGTGCTCCTCTGTCCTGTCATCCAAAGCACGCTCATGCAGGGAGTCGATTTCCATGCCTTCCACCAGAATAAGAGCACTAAAGTACCTACAACCATGAGAAGAACGTAAACAAGTAGGTCAGAAATTTTATTTGAGAATTCAGGTGGGTTTTTTTAAACTGTAAGTGGTCCTTCAGTTCAGCTCTTCTTTGAAGCAATAAGAAATTACAGGGAGTTAAGAGCGCATAATCCAAATTTTGTCTTGAAATTCTGGCATAGGACCAAATGCAATCTTCAGAAACACCATTTCTGGGTTGAACAGAGAAGAAAAAGTCACGAAATTCGAAGACAGTTTTTCCACCTTTGTAACTCTCTGCCACTTGGCAGGATTCTCATTGCCCCTCGAGTCATGTCCCACACAGCACAAGGAAGGCAACACTGCCATTTGTTGGCAGACCCACAACAGCTGAACTGAGGCAACCCAGGTAAAAATACAAGTCAGACAAAGCACCAACCTCCACACAGGGAGCATCCAGACCAGCACAGGATTGTGAAGATACAATTTCACTTTACCACTAGACCATCCAAGGAGGAGTGGCACTGTATCTCCACTGCCAATCTTACCAAAGGTAAAATTATATACTAGATTAAAGTTAGTCTGTGGATACCTCTCTACTTTGCAGTCACACCTTCATTTTGCTGTAAACCTTCAGTATGACCAGAAAAAAAACTTTTTTGCCTTCGTATCCTTAGTTTGAAACAGTGGTGATTTTAAGAGGCAGCAGCAAGAATTACAAATGCTTTTTTCCAGAGGAGAACAATTGTTTTGCTCTGTCCCCACTTCACAAACACACACAACACTTACCCAATACGATCCACCAGGTGATCCATGCTCTCATCCACCAAATGCCTGTTGGTTTGTCTCGTGCCAAACCCCTGCTCTTTGAACATCTTTGCAAAGGCCAGCAGCTCATCAGGTGCCATTTCAAAGTATGCATAGTAGAGGAAGATGACTTCCAGCAGCATGGACTGTTCACGGAGGCATTGCACAAACCAACGGGACACCTGACGCTCTGTCTGCACAAAGGAAAGTTCCACCATCACAGGGCAGCAAAAGCAATCAGAGAAGTTCAACAGTCCATTTAGCCAGCACTTGTGTCAATGGCAAGGAAAGCCACTATAAATACAAAGAGATCATGAGCAACTACACATAAATGGCTCTGTTAGCCCAGGGCTATCCATGGATTTATGACAAGGAACAATATGTTTCATGCAACCCTCTGTTTCTGAGCGGAAGCGTGTTTTGTTAGAGAGAAAACAAATCTTATGTTTCTTGCACCAGAAGAAACATCCTGTTTGACTGCTCCTTCACATATGCATTTTCTAATGCACTACATATAAGGAAAGACTTTAAAGGTCAGATAAATATGAGTAAGAAGCAAAATACCATGAGATTTCCATGTGTTTCCCACGTAGGAGCTTCTGTTTTGTACAGTGCTTCAAACTGCTTCCGGTAATTCGGGACCAGTTCCTTGTCCAACTTTTCCACACACTGGAAGTACTGTGCCTTAAAGGAACAAACAAACAAATGTACTTCTCACGTGCCCACTCGTGTGCTTTTGACAATCACAAGTGAGGAATTACTACATATTTAGCCTATTTCAGTGGCATCATGTCCAGGACTCCTGTACTCACTGTGTAAGGGTGTCTCTCATCCTGGAAGTAGGTGAGCAGGTGGAGGACGCAGCGCAGGATGCAGATCCTCTCCTCATAGTAGTAGTCAGCGAGCTGTGAGTGTACAGTGCCACCAGTATCAATTTGATATCGTGCCCAACTCCCCTGCACTTCCCTCTCCCATCACAGGAATGCAGGGTGCTCACACATTATTACAGATGGAGTTTCAACTGAGCAGTTTTTAAGTTATTGGGAAAAAAACAACACTTAATTAACTTTACGGAACGCAATAAATCATGGCCACAAGGACAGGTCTAAAATTACACTGTTAAGTGAGAAAACTTGGGAAAGAAAAGAAAAAAGACATCCCTATAAATCTCTGTCAAAAATTATCATCATCCTTCCTTTCAGAGTTGTCACTTCAGACAGTAACATACGAAAATACAAGCTTTGGAAAACAAGGGAATGTACATCAACCCTGCTAAATTCCCTCACATACTCTAAAATTTCATTCCTCTAGCAATCATTAACACTGTTCAAATCTACATGCACATCCATCAATTTTAAAAGCACCTTCTAAAATTTGTTCATTACATGAAGGAATGCTTCAATTATTTTAAGATTTTCCATAGAAATAAAGTGAGTTCTCTGCCAACAGGTATTTTCCACAGAAAAAAAACAAATGGAAATGACTAACCTTCAGCATCAGAGCCTGACTCTGCCTTTCATCCTGAAGAACTGTCTGTAAACAAAATACAGCAAAATAAACACTTGTAGACAGATCTACTGACAAAACACACATGCACAAAAAAGACTGAAATGAAAAAAAGGTAATTTTTCTTTCCCTTTCTTTCGGAAAGAGATTCTGAAAGCACAAAGACAAAACGCTAATTTTTAACTCCATATTTATTTTTCATCTCCACTCTCATTCACAAATCTGTAGCTTTCCTGTATTCCTATGATAGAGAGAGGAGCTGAGTTCCTGCAGAGATTCAAGCAGGAAGAGATAAGCCTGGATATCTGCTCTCACATTTCCTTAAAGCAGCACTGGAGCATTGTAGGTTCAGAGAATAAAATCTACAAAGCCATTTCCAAATCAGAACTCAGACTCACGTGTGCCCATGGGCATCAACAAACTATTGGTATTAAGAATAGATGTGGAGTAAAGAGAACATTAATGGGAGCTATGGACCTTCAGGGAGTCCCTTGTTCCTCTGTAATCCTCTTGAAGATACGACTGTAACAACTGCACACTCTGCTCTTCATCCAGACCCTAAACAAAAGAAAGAGAAATGCTTTGAAATTAATAAAAGGCAACTAAATTCAATAAAGACTAAGATTCTCTCCAAATACTCAGGCAGCTCTTATCTTCAAAACAAGTAATTTCCAAAATATGACAAAAGAACACTTTTGCACCAGGCAGATGCTTTAATCAGCACTTCTGTTTAAAACCAAACACACAAGCTTTGATGTCATTGAGCTGTAGGAGTTTAAATTCAGCTTAAGGAGCATCAGAGTCATTTAAACAAAGGTACCACCAGTCACTGAACTCTAAACCTGTGGCTTAAAGAAAAAGAACTTTGCAGGTAAACTGAGAGGGTTGTCAAACAAGGCAACTGATTCAAGGGACATGAGTTTTTAGCTGAGCAGTTGTCCTGGAAAACCCAAGACAGACAATAGCAGATGCTGCTGCTGAAAAGCAGAGCCCTGTGCAGCAGGACCAGGAAAACCACAGCACCTCAAGGTCACTCCTCACTTTGGAAAAGTTTGACCTACAGCTTCAACATGTCATTCTAATATCCTTTAGATTATATTGAATTCAAAGGACCTTAAATTTGCCTCTACTCAACATCAAGAAGATTACTTATATATAAGAATCCCAGTAACAATTCATTCCAGGAATAAAAAATAACCAGATGGCAGCTTCACTCACCAAAAACTTGCTGACCCTCAGACCCAACTCTTTTAGTGGAGCAGCTACATCTTTATCAGCTTTAATTTTTTCTGCTGAAGTCGTACTAAAGAGAAAAGAAATTTTAGTTACAAAAAATGCAGCAATCCCAAGGATTGAACTAAACAGGCATAATTTCAAAGTCCTCAGTTTTATCAGTTTAAACTGAACATTTGCTTTTTCCTCAATGGCCTTTCCAATATTTCATACAACAATATTCAGCAACCTTCCCACCAGATAAATCTCAACATTGTTCACAATTTTATCACCGTAATAATGCACATTATACTCATTCCACCTCTTTCAGTGAGGGAATCTGGATGTCTTTCTGGGATGACTGAGTGTCAAGAGGAGTCACTTCTTCACAGGCTGCACAAGTGCTGCAGCTCACAAAGGCAGGGGTTAACAGCCACCTGACAGCAGCAACAGCAGAAAATGCTGTTACTTCTTTCTGGTCTTTATTTCATACCCAAAAATGTTATGTGGATTAAGTACTTTCTCTTGCTCCTCCTCTCCTGAAGTCTTGTCATGCAAGAGAGCAAAACTCTATTTTTATGTAATCAGAGATAAATATTCAACATGATCCTCTATTTACTGGGAAACCTCACGTTAGAAGTTCATTTCTAAAATCAGGCAGTGACTGTACCTTGGTGGTTTATAGTATGACAGTCCCTCTAACAGCCTCTGCCAGTGCTTGTTCAACTCTGCAGCAATCTGGGCCTAAAAAAGAAACAAATACCACTGAACTGACTCCTCAAAGTGCACTACCAAGTACCAGATTTGTTAAATTTATAGAAAGCTAGGAAATTCCACCACCACAGAGACAGGAACAACAAAAGACAGGTGTCTGTGACTCAGACTGATTCCAGGAAAGTGAGGCAGAGACCTGCCTTGCTAATCCCAGGAAGGGTAAGGAAATAGGAGGCAATGGACTGGGTTCAGAAACATTTGGATTTCCAACCTCTGGGCAAATTCTTGGAAGCACAGGTTCCATCCCTTAAAATAAGGCAGCAGGCTGCACCACTCATCAACACCCCAGGCCAGCCAGTCTAGGAAGCAGCACTTGTGCCCACTCCAGAAAAGGAACCACCTTTTCCATACACCCTTCCAGGCAGTTCATGCAGCAGCTGTAAACAAGCAGTGGAAGAATGAAAAAGTAACAGAGACAGAGGAACAAAAAAACACACTGAGGAAGAGGGAAAAACAGCAAAACAGTGAATATTTTCACTAATATTCAACCAGCTGTACAAATGATGTACTTGGCCACGGAGCCCTTTCAGTGATGGCCAAACCTGCTCAGCAGGACATGGACTTACTGGTTCTCTTAAAGCTGATCTGCCCAGCAGAATTGTCCATAATTCTCTGCTGCTCCTGCAAAGAATGGGAAAAGGTGCAAAGTGTTTTAATGATGACCATTATTTCAGGTTTCCATTTAGCTCATGCTTTTTCAAACCTGCAATTAACTCGGAGCAGATCACCTTGTAATACAAGAAAAATGATTTAAGGAACATCAGCTTTTAGCTGAGGAGTTTCAGACGTCCTGGAAGAACCAAGGAAAGCCCCAAAGAAGGTGACAACTGACACTGTGCACTCATATCAAAGCTTCCCATTTACATCAGGTTACCAGTTCAATTTGATTTTGCTACTTGGAGGTTTGAAGGTCATTAAGAAGAAACTTAATGAAAGTATAGAGCAATATTTTATTCAGTTACATTCAATGCTCTCCTCCAAATAAACTCTTCCATCACAGTTTCATCCTCCACTCTAAGCAGAGCATAAACCTGGGTGAAGTGAAAAACAGCAAGATTTTTACACAGCCTCCAGAACATTCACCCTCACCTTCTTCTTTCTTCCTGAGAACTCTGCAGAAAAGCCAACCTGCACTATAAGAAATTACGGATCACATCCTGACCCTGGCACATACATCCAGAAAAGTAAGTCTCCCTAAACCAGCCCAGAGAAAAGGTGTTTGCCAAAAAAGAGTATTTCATTTAGACAAATTATTTGTTAGCAATGTATTACAAAAGAGGAGGTAAACACCACAGCTTCTCACACAGACTGTCTACAGAGCAAGGGCACTCATTGCCTTATTTTTAGAACAACATCATCAAAGTACCTCCCTGTGGCAGTGAAAGGCATCTGTGACTTCTGACACGTGGTGCCACTTGATGAATGGCAACAGCTATTACTTCCAGGACACTTATCAACATAATTTCTCCCTGCTCATTCCTCGATAGCTGGGTGCACTTTCCTGACAGGAGCCTCTCCTGACATGGTCAGCACCAGCTCTGGGTTCAGACTCTCCAGGCCAGAGCACCCAAAAGCCCAGAATTTCACCAACAGTTGAAGAGCAGCGTCAAGGAAGCAATTCAACGAACCCCAGGTTCAGTTATCACGTTAGATTGGTACCTTTGTTTGTCCTGAACACGTTTTTTATCATTCACTGTAAGAACCGAGCCTGGCAGAGGCAACCCTTCCATTTTTCACTCCCTCGTCTGTGAATAAACAGACCGTGTTTTGTTGCCCGTTCATTAATTAGAAGCTAAAGGAGGAAAGTTCTGTGTGCAACCACAACTAACAGTGGTGTTCTTGTCCCCTTTAGGGCTTAGAGGCATTCATTTTAAAAAAATTACACACCAGGGAAACTCCAGAGCATAAAAACGTTACAAGAAATGACAAAAATAAACGACAAGAGCTCTGAGGACAAACGAAGGCACGGATGTGAGGTGATCACTGAAACTGTGATTCATTGACACGCTTCCCACGTGTCTACTTTGACTTTACGTTTGCAAAAGGTGCGGGAGGCGCAGCCCGGCCCTGGTGCGATCCCCCGCTCGAGGCAGCAGCTGCGGGGCCTGGGGGCACCTCGGCGGGGGCAGCGGGGATGGAGCCCCCCGGCCCCGCCAAAGCAACGGCTCCCAGCGCGTTCTGAGCGGCCGCTCCCCCCGCACACCATAAAATAAACACAAAACCCCCCGACATTCGCTCCCGCTCCGACCGTCGGGGCCGGGGGGTCCCTGAGGGTCCCTCAGCGAGGAGGGGGGGGGGAAGGGGGCGGGGTCTCGCCGCGCGCGCGGGGCAGGGGGGCGGGGCCAGCCCGGCGCGCGCCCCGCCGCGGTTAAACCCTCCCGGCGTCTCCGCCCCGCCGACCCCTCTCCCCTCCCGGCCCCGCGGAGCGCGGCCCGCCCGCAGCGAGAGCCGGGGCCGCCCCTGTGCTCCCCCCCCGCCCGAGCGGCCGCAGCCCCGCACCTCGCGCTCAGCCCGCCCGCCGCCATCTTCGCTCCGTGCTCACGTGACCGCTCGCCCCGCCTCCTCCTCCCGCGCCGACGTCACGTGGTGCCGGTGGGCCACGCCCCCTCCCCGCCGGTGGGTCATGTGACAGCGGCGGCGCCAAGATGGCGGCGTCCTGCGAGGTGGGTGCGCGCTCCGCTGCCGGGAGGCGGCCGGGGGTGGTCGGGGCTCCGCGGGGGGAACGGGGATCGCCAGGAAGCGCCTCCCACACCTTCCGCGGGCGGCTGCGGCCGCTCTCCCCTGCCGGAGGTTCCCAGGAGTGAAGGCTGGGTTGTGGGTGAGGCGGCTGAGGGGACACGGAGAAGAGAGGGGACAGGCAGGGGCTGCAGCGAGGCGAGGGATACCGCGCGTTTGGCAGCACATCAGTGGGAAGCTTTCCTGCCCAGGGCAGACGGGAGGCGGATAGCCAAACGGGCAGAGAGCGCTCAGTGTGGCTCGGATCGGGGCGTGACGGGTCCCGTTTCGTGATGAGAGAGCGGCAGCGCTGAGGAGCTTCACGCTACCTGAGAGCTGCGGAGGAGGGAATTGCTGCAGGCACAAGAAAATGAAATAATTCAGCAATTAAACACATCGTGTTGCAGGTTCAGGGGCTAGAGCTTTCAAAGCTGCTGCGTTAGAGCAGAGACCTCACAGAGGGTGAAATTCTTGTTTCTCAGCCAGGCTGGGGGACGCTGTCATGTGCCATTATTGATACAAGAGATGGGTGCAACCTCAGCGTTGCCAGACTGAGGGGGAGGACTCTCACTCTTTGGCAGGTGGATTTACTCTGCCTCTTCTCAAATAAGCCTTAAGCTTCCCCCTCCCCAGTGTGCAGAAACAGCAGAGTGGGACCCCAAAATCATCATTACTTATAGGTACATATTGCCCAGACTTGGGTTTTTTTAACATATGATTAATTCTTCTCTTGTTTTAACATAACATGTGATGGCAAAAGCTCACCCTGGGCCTGATCAAGCTATGTAGCAACAGTACATGGAATGAAGTTTGGCAATCAAGTATTTCAGGCTGTATGAACAAGGATGCCAGAAAGCAACCTATTAATAATTAAGACTTTTCATTACAAAATCATAAATAACTAAACCTTGCAGACACACAGTGCGAGGGAGTTTGATGGTACAAACTGGAATAGTTCCTCAGTGATATTGGTACTGAGATCTCTGTCAGCTCCATGGTCTGATGACACCATTCAACACTGAGTGAAAACCCAAAACAGAACTTTAAATGAATTTCTTGGGGAGCTGGTGTAGATATTGGCAATGAGACTTGGGGAGCAGAATTTAATGAGAGTTTGCTGCTAATCAGCTTAAGGCTGGGCCAGAAAGGATGAGGCAATGCAGTGTCTTAGTTGGGATACACACAACTGTATCAGCCATAACATTGCCAACAGAAATACAGAAACTGAGACCTTCAAAGGTCCTAAAAGAGGTGCCAGAATAATGGAAGAGTGTGAAATTCTGCTGCAGAAAACAGGAATTAAGGTACTGACAGGGGGAGAGGATGCGCAAAAGCTTTAACCTTTCCTAGGAGCTGCTCT